TCCCATCCTGCTCCACGGTTAAAAAAAAAAACTAAACTAAATTATACCCTAATTCTGAAGTTTTCCTATTATACAGATGACATATATGTTATATAAATATATCTGGATCAATTTAATCAAGAAATTAGCTTGGTGATAAGACAACACTGCACTTTTATGAAAACCTATCACAGCACTTATACCTCTTAGAAGAATGGATCTTAAACAAAATTGTTTCTCTGAACAAGTGTGATGTAAATCAACAGGTAAAATGGCCATTCTCATGTTCTCACTCCTGAACATTCCATTTCAGACGACAATCATAAAGAAAACCCAATCAGTGTCACCTAAGTTAAAGGGATCTAGGTATGGAAGATCTTTAGAAAATTCTAGGGGGGTAAAAAAAAAAAGGGGGCTTTTTTAATTTTATTTTATTTTAGGAGACCCTTGGGTGAATGTAGCCTGAAGAACTAGTTCCAAACGGGCTAGGTCTTTCATGCTTCAGAATTCTTGTGTTTTTGTTTTTTTTTTAATTTTGCGTGTCAGGGCTACGTCTCAAACACAGGTACAGAGATTCTTACAAATGCAAAAGAAAGATCTGTTAAAGCTGCAATAAGTAAACTTAAAGTCTTTAGAGTTTTATTAATTGGTGGGATTTTAAAATCTATGTTTTTAATATTGGCGGTGAGGAACTCAAAACTTGCTGGTTACTCAAGCCACAACATATCCCAAAAGGACTATGTCCGGATTCGCACGAGACCGGAGAACGTAATTCGAGGAGGAGTTACATCCTTTATTATTTCTATCTATTAAAAGAAAAAAAACCCACTTGTCAACTTCTCAGGATTGACAGTAAAAGGAAATAAAGAATTGGCCTCTCATTTTCTCCCTTTATTTAGTGGCCCAACACTCTCATCAGTTACACTGATCTCAAATTGAAAAGCCAAACAAACAAATGCCGAGCCGTCCCCTCTCCTGCCCCACTGGACATAAGTGACACAGATTTGGCCGGAAACTTGAGGATTCTATGCAAAAGGAATCCTACAGCATAATATGGAGGAAGAAATGTTTTTGTAAGACCGTCTGTATTCATCTGTGTCATTGCTCAAAGGCAGTTTAGTGAGTCCAAGGTTGGAAAATAAAGAGTTTCTTGAAGCAAATCTAGAAATGGATGGTGATCCTAACTAACTAGATAAGGAGTAACAGTCTACACACTTCACATATTCAGTTCAAGCATTAATAAAGAAATTTCCACCTAGAAAATGGAATTTTTTTTTTTTTACAGATTCAGAAAAACTGGGTTCCCAATTCAGACTACCCTATGTGACTTTTGTCATTATCATCTTTTCTGATTCTTATAAAGTAAACCTAATTAAGAACCTCCCTCATTAGTCTTCCAGAAAAATTAGCACAGCTTATGCTAATTACTCCTGCAAAATTTAATAAACTCGTTGAAATGGGAATAGTCTAATGAGGTTTTATTTATTGAACTAAGATAACTCCAAGGAAAAAGGTTAGGACACAAGGATATCCAATGTGGTAATAAAACTACAATTTATTCAATTTCTAAACACGAATTTTATTGCAAACCTTTTAAATTCAAATATGAGTTACTATGTGAATATGTTAAATCAATCTCCACCTTAATCCAATAACTGCAAGTCATTTTTTGCTTTTTCGCTTTAACAATAATTACCACACATAGCCCTTTACCTCAACGATAATGAAATCTGCTGTTATTAGTTCCTGGTCATCAGCTATTAAACATAACATATTTGACTTTTCCCATGTTTGCACAGCTCAAATATCCAGATCAGTGGGCAAGCCTAGTTTATATAATTCTCAATCAAGCCATTTGGCATCAGGCAGAAATATGACCTGGCGGTCAACCCCAGATGCACATTTCGAACACTTACAGAAATCCTCCTCCAAACTTTTTCCAAGAGACTTGACAAATTGTCACAATTGTAAAAAAAAAAAAAAAAAAAAAAAAAAAAAAAAGAGTTTGGGTCATATGTGTCTTACTTTGTTGTATGATATGATAAAAGAATGAAGTGGAAATCCATTTCTAAATCACAGTATTGAACTTCTGATTTTGTTCATTTCACATTTTTCGTAGAGTAGGCCAAGCTGATGTCCCCACACCACTGGCAGCAATAATGCAGCCAAAATTTAGCACAGAAATAGCTTACCCTGCACCACTGCCGTATGACCAGAAAGCCTCTTCTATCAATCCTATAAATAGTTTTCCTGAATAACCACTGCTAAAAGTCTCTTGACTGATAAAAATAGCAGTGTTCTTCCAAAATCCGAAGGACAAGCAAAGGGAGGTAAAAATTATTGGTGCCCAAAGGGTGACTGCGTGTTCAAATTATGCTAAATCCAAACACAAGGATTGCCTGCCCCCTCAGCTCTATAATTGCATATTGTATGCGTCTTGTAAAAACAGTTACTATTGCTACTGAATGCAGGTCCCATAACCTATTTCTGCAAAATATGCAGGGATTCACAATCATAAATCTGAAAGCAAATCAAATCCCAAGCACGTAACGCACATATTATGCAATCGGTAATATAAGATCAAATTGGAAACTATGAAATTCAAACACGTTTGCCATCATTTTTTTTTCCTTTGCAGTAATTCTATGGAATTGAAAAACCTTTTCTGTTTTGCCTTTCCTTGTGTAAGTTCTTTTCCTGTTGTTTCTCTCTCCCCTCATTGTTAAAAATGGAAGTTTCACATATCAGCATAGACAGGACTGGAGCTTTTTAAAACCTTTGGCAGACTGAAGGACAAATAAATTCTGAAGACTCCGATGCAAATGAAAATAGCTGAATGGGGGTTTGCATATCAGCTGGCATCACTGCTTGAAAAGACAGTTCATGGGAGACGGTGGCAGCAGCCAGCAAATTAACATATGCTGGGACTCGTGCAGATACTCTGGGTTTCAACCGTTTTTTTCAAGTGCTCCTCTCTTAAGAGACCAAGATTGGCTAACACTGTTTTCTACTTTGTCAAACCAAAAAGGAAAAAAAAAAACAATGAAAAGGATAAATGTCATGAGTAATATCTCTAAAGCCACCAACAGTATAAAGTGCATACTTATTTTGCCTAAATTGTTTGAACTCCCCAGCCAAGAAAAGGTTTTAAGTACCCTACTGGGACAGATGCAAGGCGGCAACAATAGAAGCTGCCCTAATGCAATCCAGGTAACACAATCCTGTTTCAAAAACACGGGCCGGGCTAATTACAGCGCTGCTGAGTCAAGTTTCTTATGCCATCGCAACCCACAGGAACAGGTCAAAATCAAATGTTATTCAAACCACAGTCATATCAACCTCCTATATCAGAGTCACGGCTTAAAACCAAACGAAGAACTTAAAAGCTTAACCCATTCAAAAGCAAAAAAAAAAAAAAAGTGTTTTCATTGCGGGTGGCAAAGTAAGGTTCTTGTCATCATCTAAACCAAAAGAAACTGTGTGGCAGAACCAAATGCTGATAGTTTCAAAGTTTCGAGGACTATTTGGACTGGTCCTTGATCAGAACACGTTCTAACAGAAGGGTAAGAAAAACTTGCTTAACAAATGGTATTTTGAAGAGCTGTTTAAATGAAACAAGTAACACAAAGCTTGTATTTATTTACTACCTTATTCATTTGAGGATTTATCTGCCATTGCAGAAGAAGAAATTACGTGAATCACATGTCTGCTTTTGTAGAAGAACATCCTATTCTAACTCCATGGGCGGCACACAACTTCACTACACTGAACTGCTGATGTTAACTCTGCATCAAAATTATTCATCCTCATTTACCAAGCAATGGTATATGTTTTCAGTGAATATTAGTGAAAGATACTTAGTTAAAATATCTGATTGACATGTTAACTTTAAAAAGCTACTCGGCAATCAAAATTGTGTTTAAGCCTTAAGAATCCCAAAAGTCAAATTCAACAAGCAATGTTTCGACATAAAATACAATGAAGCAAACGCTTTTTCAGTTAACTGAAAAATGGCAGCACAAGCTCCCAAAAGGTAAAGAACTGGAAAGATGGGGCAGAAGGGTGGTGGGTAGCTCAAAAATCAGTATTACCAGACTCAAAGGGGACTTTTGTTCAGACGCTGATTTTCTCAATAAGGGATCAGTCAGTCTTACTTGCAAGACTCTTCCAGCTAGTAGAGGATGCTAGCTCCTTTCTTAGCTGACAACTGACAGTATCTATAAACCTTCCAGGCCATTTAACTCTCAATAAGTAATGCTATGTAACAAATGCTTTATCATACATGTTTCCATACAATGAATTTCAATAATTAAAATGTAAAACGAATATTTGGAATGCAACTTTGCATAATATGTGCACACACTGACTCGAAATTGCGCCCAACAACTAAAACAGATTTACTGTTCTACAGTGATTTATTGGTCATGTCAGATTAGTAATATGGATCTGTTTAAAAACACAATAATTAAGACAAGCAGAATAAATTAATCAACTTACAATGCACTATGAACTACAATCAAACCCGGGAAATAACTGTAGAAAATCTTGGTTCACAGATCTCTTTAAAGCTGCTTTTATGCATAAATAAAACCTTAAAATGTAGATGGATTACGTCCAACAGAACTACTGTAGCTAAAAGTGATAATGATTCAAACATTTTTCAAATAAAACTTAAATATTTATAAGTATCCAACCACATTTCATAAATCACAAATTATTATTATTTTATTTCTGAAGCTTCCTGGCACAGCGCGAAGATTGAGCCACAGAAAGTCAAGAAAGAAAATATTCCTTTAGGAGCATGAATCAGACACAAAACTGGAGCAATCCAAGAAAACAGGCCTCCAAAGTACATTCCATATGGCTTTCCCAGGAATCACAAGAGCTCAGCGCAGCTGAAGTCATGACCAACAGGCAAATTTCGGCCACATGCCTTCCTAACCCTCACCCACGAGCCACACAAGGCAGGTGTTTCATTATAATGAGGAATAAGGACCCAGTGAAAGTAGAACCATCCCTACCTGTCAATTATCACTGGATCTGAGGGAGTCTCATTTCGGTTGCCACAGCTTTTCTTGTCACAACAGCGGCTATGGAGCAAAAAGCAAGAGGATTTAGTACAACCATTACAATGTAAAATCGTCATTTAGGCAGACAGAAGGTTCAAATTGCTGGGTTGCGAACGCTAGAATTACCACAAAGCCATACCTGGCAATCAACGGATCCCTGGGACAGAAAATTCTATTTGGGTCACCTATGGGTTAATGGCCAGGCTTAACCTCTCCCTGCACAAAGGAGGGAGGGAGAGGGTCTCTCACGGAGCCAGCACTGGCAGCCCGAAGATGGGGTCTCCCCATCACTGCCCGCGGCATTGGAAGGGTTCACTGGGAGATGCACTGTTATTACATCTACCCAATGAGAATATTCCGGGTTGTGGGTGGCTCACACGCTCTTCCCTCAAGATCACACTAATTGTGTGGAACGCGTCAATAATGAGGTATGAGTGATTTCTCCCCCTCCAGTCATCTTGCATTAAATGGATTCCTTTTTCTTCTCCTTTCTCTTTTATGGGAAACGTTTCCTTCCACCACAGCCTTCCCCAAATCCTGAAACTTTGTTTGCTTTCGAACCATCTTTGTGAGAATAAAAGTGCGGCGTAATAATTAAGGCAAAGAAGCAAGATAAAAGTGGAGGTCCGCAGGTCCTCTGGCTTTTGTGCCCTGCGCCGGCCACTGTTTATTTACGTTTTCTGGGAGCATCATGGACAGTTGATCCAAAGGTTAGCAGAGCCCTCACAGTGGACGCTGTTTATTAGGTCCGAGAAAGGACAGACACGGGCAAACGGAAGGCATCCACTATCAAAATCCCACCCAGCTGTGACCTTAAGGTTGCCAGTTTTTTCTTAAACTGAGATGCTTCTAAAGGGTGAAAAATTAGGGTTTTAGAAAATTACCCATGATCAGTGGAAAACTATCCATCTGAGACTTGTTGCAAATTTAAAAAATGTGTCCATTGGCCAGTCTACACCTAGGGGCACACTATAAAAGCATGTATTCGATCGTCAAGGTCAAGGAGATGAGCGAGTTATCTGAGCATTATTTATTACCCTGGGCCACAAATAAAATACGTACTTTTTTCTCCCTTTCTCTTACACAAGCACACACGCATGTACGTACACGTACACACACACACACACACACACACAGTCATTAGACTTGGTGAATCATAGAGCCTAAATTTAGAGAGCTGCTGGGGAGAACCAAACACTGAACTTCATTTCCAGGACCCAGAAATACACGCCTGCATAGGGAGTTCCTCCCCAAAGTTGGGAAGTCTCGCTCCTGTCTGTAACCCTATCTCTGAGAAGAGACTCAGCTTCCAAATCTGATGCTCAGTCTGCTTGTCTCTCGTATCTGCAGAAAGCAACAGCAAGAACTGTATCTCCTTTGTCAAGGTCCCAGCTAAAACCACTCCACCCGCCACAGAGCCTCTCTCTTACTGGTTCGAGGAAACTTTTCCTCCTGGTCTGAGTTCTGCTACAGTAGCACTTTGGGGATGGGAAGCCCAAGGGACCCCAATACCTAAGAGACAGATAAAGAAACAAGGGAACGAAAAGTACGGTGGTTGGAACGTGTGCACAAAAATAATCCAAAACCCAAACTCCACCATCCCTGTATTCTCATCACCTACAGCTACGTTTCAAAGGCTTGCCAGAAGAGCACGGTGGTTAGGAACACTGGCTTTGCAATTGGAGCTGTCTGTGTCACCTCCAGTAAGGTATTCCTCCTGCTGGAGTCTTAACTTCCTCCTTTGTGAAATGGAGCGATTGTGGTACCCACCTCTAAGTGCGGGAGCACAGGTCTCCAAAAGCAGCCCGTTGACAGAGCCCGAGTCCCCTTTACTCAGTGAGAAAAGACATGGATGGAAAGGCCTACTTCTCCTTTCTATTTTCCATTTTTTTCCCCTTTTTCAAAACAGCGATTAGGCAGAACCCCACTGGTCAAACCCTCACCATCGTCCTGCCCAGAATAAATGGCCTCCAGGGACTCTTCCAACTCACGTGATGATAATTTCAGACTGGAATCTACATCTCAAGCCCATGTGACTCTCTCCCCTCAGTCCCAAGTCACTTGCATTTCTCGCTTGGACTTCTGCAGTAGCCTCCCATCTGGCCTCCCTGCCTCCACTCTTTACTCACTGCAACAGCCAGAGTGATCTTCTCCAAAGGTCAATGGAACCATGTCCCTTCACTGCCCAAGACCTGTTAATGGCTTCCCAGCACACTCAGAATAAGTCTACGGCATGACATGGTGCCAGGCCACCTCCCACCCTCCTGTCGCTCTCCTCCTACTTGCCAAGCTCCAGCCTCACTGGCCAATTTCAGTCTCTCGGATGGGCCATACTCAGTCTGACCTCAGGCCTGGGCCCAGGCAGGCTTCCCAGCCCAGACTACCCCTCCTCCAAGCCCTCTCCAGTTCCCCAGACTCTACCTCTACCCTCTTTAGGCCTCAGTCTCTAGCTAGCCTACTTTCTCAGAGAGGCTGGACCTGACACCTGACAGGTTTCTCCTGGTTTTTCCTTGCAGGGCGCTAAACACATTGCAAATTTTATTCCTACATACATATCTGTGTATTTTTTGTTACTGTCTTTTTCCTCCCTTCCCCCTTTAAACCATATCTTCATAAAAGAACACACTGTCCATTTTATTTACCTAATGAGGGGTGTAAGGCCTGGGACAGAATAGAGAAGCTCAAATATTAACTGACTGAATGAATGAATGACTTCATGAATGAATGCAATGTACTGGGGGAAATACAATCCAAGAAAACAGGAAGGTGACTGACAAAGGAAGCCAAGCTGACCCTCCGAGCAGATACAACTGAGGGAAGGAGGGGTCACCCCCACCCCACCCCAAGCACCAAAGCCACCTCGCCCAAACAAGCGCCACACTAGGCCTGAGATTTGTCCTTTGCCTTAAGCGCTGTCTTCATCTCCTTAAAATAAAAGTGCCCTTGAGCTCAGTCAGATGAACTGAAGCACAGCCGAAGTGAGAACCACCCCTCTCTGCTGAGCCCCAAGGGACCCAGAGCAAACGGCAGATGTGAAGAAGTGTAGAAGGGAAGACAGACTAGAAATAAAATGGGGGTAATAAAGGAAGAGAGAGAAAATATGAATAAAGGGCTAGAGGTCACTTAACATTTAGAGAAAAAAAAAAACTTTTTGCAACTATTTAAAATAGCCCAAGAGTTTTCCTGCCTCGCACGCCATGTCACTGCATCACCCAGTCATCATTCCCAAAATGGGATCCCAGGGCTCTGCTTTGCATATGGGGTGGCGACCAAGTAGTGTCCACAGTTTGAGCCCACTTTAAAAATATATGCATATACAAATACACAAATGTACACATGTACACATGTACATGTATGTATGGAATTGGGTGCAGCATTAAAAGGAATGAAGGTGGCTTTGCATACACCATTATTGAAAGAAGTCCACATCATACTGTGACCTGAGAAAGCCACGCTGCAGAAGAGTGTGTATGATGCGATCCCATTTCTGGGAGAACAAAATGAAAGAGGGAGAGACAGAGGGGGAGGGATGGAGGGGAGGAGACAACCTGTCACAAGCAAGTTCACATTCTCACTTCCAATTCCTGCACAAAGTCACGGCCTCTGACTACCGCAGAGCTCGCGAGCCCCTTATCCTGCCTCACTTTCCTTCCTAGCACTCATCACATCACATATGTGTTTGTCGGCTTCTCTACTGTCTGTCCCTCCATGAGGACAGGGTCTCAGACTGTTTGGTTCATGCCTCTGTCTTGTTCATCCCTATCTCCCCAGCAACTAGAACAGAGCCCAGCACACGAGAGGCCCTCTGAAAGGTTTTCTTGTTTTTTTGAGTAAATGAATAGACCCTTCCAAGAAATAACCTACAGGAAGTGGAATACGTGGGGAAGAACAGAGGCTATATATTTTATTGCCATACTCCCGCTGTCTTCTGCTTTGAATCACAATCTTACTTTTCTGTTAAAAAACTAAAAATCAACTGCAAGTTGGGGACAGAAGATTTTTCCCTTAGGCTGAACTGACATCTAACCCTCTGAAACTTCCTAGTTCTAACCCAGAGCTGAGCAGAGCAAGGACCCATCATCCTTCCCCACGACAGTCTTTCTTGCCTTCTCTTTCCTCCCGTCTCCAAGCTGAACTGCTCCCTAGTTCCCTCTACTGAACTCGGAAGGACCAAGAAAGGTGGGTAGCAACCTCCACCACACACAAGACAGGCATTAACCAAGAAGGACCGGATGAAGGCGAGAACAGATTCACTTGTGTTTAAGGCAGGAGAGGGCTCAGGCTGAAATAATGCAGTGGAAGGAACAACAGACACAAAGGCACTCCAAGGGAAAAGCTACCCTGTTGACAAAAGAAATCACAGTGATAATCACGCCCTCATTGCTGTGTGACTGACGGATCTTCAACCTTCCAAACGGCGTTTTCTAGGCTCCCGCTGTGTGTGCCAGGCACCACACCAGGCACAGACCTGCCATTTGCTCCGTAAAGTAGGCGTCTATCGGGGGACTTGGAGTTTCCTAGTTTGCTTTGTCACAGAGCAGGACTCCCTTTATTTTACATCCCTTCTTGACCTGCAACCCAAGCAGCAGGAGAGCAATGTGGCTCATCACAGGAGTGGGTCCCCAGCATCCGGGGACCTACATACACTGTGGACTCCAAACACAGCAGCCTTTTCCCCAGCAAGCAAGTTCACCCCTCGGACAATTCTGCACACCCAGGGAAGAGCACACTTCTGAGTCTCAGCCCTCGCAGCCTAACACACGTGGTGTATCTCTAGTGAGCGTCTGACACGCAGCTTCATAAATCGGGGCAAGAAACATCGACATGCTTCCTGGTCCTGGGACCTGCATCTCCTCATCTTCAGGATGTGGAACCTCTTCCCATAAGGAGAAGCGCTCTCAACCACAGAAAAGCAGCGTCTCCATCTCCAAGCTTTACAACAAAAAAATTAGATTACGTTCCCCATTTAGCCAAAGTGGCTGGAGAGTGAGATGTGTAAATTATCTAAATAGTCTGATTAACAGTGATAAGAATAAGTCCATCCTGTCAGTTACCGATATTATCAAGTTTTCCTATTCTTAAAAAAGAAAAAGAGGGAGACTCACTCCTTGTTTTCTCTAGAGTTGGTTTCTTCCCTGCCCAGCTTTCTCCCCGCCAGAGTCACCACCACTCCTGGCCACCTGAACCTCATAAAACCTGGCTTTGCTGCCGCAGCTCCTATTTGAACATCCTCTCCTGCAGTTCACCAGTGACCCCCTGGTGCTCTTCTCAGTCTTCACGTCCATCTGGATTTCCCTACACTTACTACACAGATGGTGCTCTGTCTCTGAAACTCCCTTCTTTTGTTTCTATGCCCTGTATGCTCAAGGTTCCTTTTTTTCCCTAAATCTCGAACACTCTAAACGGGATCTTTCGCCAAGAACGTACCCATGGTCTCTTCCCCTTCTATTCCCCCATCCTTGTCGGTCCCATGTAAGCCCACAGCCTCACCTCTCACGTTTGAGAAAAGACCCCTGACGTTCATGGATCCTTCACCCTGACTCTCTGCCCAGCTCCAGGCCACAGGCCCACCACCTGCAGACCTCTCCCCAGGAAATCCTGCGGGGACCGCCCACAAACAGACCAAAACACTCCTTCATGCATCCTCCAAGATCCCCGTCCTGTCTCACCCTCCTCCCCATTCCTGCAGCTACAACCACCTGTAAGTACGTCCTCCCTTCCCTGAGCCATGGTCCCTGGCCTCGCCTCTCACCCCAGCCCACAGTGCAGTCTAACCTGCTCCCGGGTCCTATCTCCCAGGCTAGCCTGGAGGCTCTCCTACAGCAGGCGCCAGCCCCATTCGGCTCTGCACACCACAGTGCTTTGCATACAGTAGGTGCTAAAAGAATGAAAATATCCTTAACCACCACACCAAGAGCCAGCAAAGTATGTTAATGTTTTAGTAGACACTTCACTTCCTTTCAAGGTTCTCTTACCATTTGCTCCTCCGAGCAGCACCAGGTACTGCAGACACGGCTGCTGCTGCCACTGCTTCTACTGTTTCTGTTAATCTCTTTTGAAATTTTTAAATTTTTTTATTCTTTTTAATTTTTATTTATTTGGGGGGAGGGAAGGTAATTAGGTTTATTTACTTATTTATGTTTAGAGGAGGTACCGGGGATTGAACCCAGGACCTTGTGCTTGCTAAGCACGGGCTCTACCACTTGAGCTACACCCTCCCCCTGGCTTCTGTTAATCTTACCACTAATACTACTGCTGCTACTACTAATAATAACAAGAGACGTTCAGTGCCTACTAGGTGTCAGGTACTGTGACAAGCACTTATGGGGATTATAGCATTTAACCTTCACCACCATCCCATGAGACAAGCAGTGGTTTCTCCCCACTTCACACATGGGGCAACCAAAGCAGAGAGGAAAACTGAGTAACTTCTTTGTCTTCAAGGAGCACTTAGTCCAGCAAAAGAAGGCAGGCCCTGGGCACACAGTGACAATGTGATGAGCAGTACGAAGGAAAAGCACAGGGTACCACGGGAATGCCTAACAAGGGGACCTCACTCAGGCCGCGGGCCACGGACGCTTTCCTAAAGGAACCACGCGTCAGTGGGCATCTGAAAGACAAAATCGGGACGAGCCAGCAAAAGAGGAAGGAAGAACAAGCCACATCTAGGGACCAGGCTAGCCCTGGGAGCGCATGGTCCGCAAGAGGTTAGACACTGACAGTGGAAAGAGAATGCTTTCTTCAACAGAGCACTGGTGCCTGCAGCCGTCCTGTGCACTGGAAAGGGAGCCAACCTGCTGTGCCCTGTCTGAGAGGCCGGGCCCTGCACTCACCTCCCAAGCATGGTCTCCACTTCCCAGTCACACTTTAAACACAGGGTGTGGGGATGCATTTGTAATCAAATTCTTTGTGGAATGAATCCTACTTATAAAAACCCTTCATGGGGCCATATTTTTAAACGACTATTAACAAAACGTAATGATGATTGGAGTGATAGATTCCAGTTTACCAAAAATGCAGAACCTCTCCCAGAATTCCACAGAAAGAGGGCTGTGCCATCAAGTCAAAGGGGTTTTGTCTCAAAGAAAGACAATAATTATAATCCAATGACAGCAGGTCCTTTAGACAAATCATGCAATGGGGCTACCCTCTCAAAAGAACAAAATAGATTTTTAAAATTCTCAATGATTTAAGGTACAATTCCTTGTTTTGTTTGTTTTAGTTTTTCTTTTTCCTTTGCCCACAACAAAACAGAATCATCCCAAGCCCTTTCCTGTCGATCTAAATTCTGTGTCTCCTTTACCATAGCTCCAATGTACTATAAATATACCTCTTTTGTGACATAAATGCAAAGTTTTATTGTGCCGTTAGCCTTGATAGAAAGCACTGCAGAAAGTTGTTTAGAAATTAAATATCTAAAACAAGCTATTTTAAAATCCAGGGCCCTCACTATTTCATGTCTGCAATGAAGAAATTTCATCTTGGGGAGAGGAAGCTGTCTTTCACACCATATGGTTAATGGTGGTGCATAGCAATTAGCCAGGCTGATTAATGGTGAACAGACTCTAATTTTATGCTTATAATTGAGCCTGCATTTGCACCCCTGGTGCAAATTCAGCACATCCCAACTTCCACTTACAACAGGCAAGAAATCAAGAGAAATAGGATGGTGTGGAAAGTGAGAATTTTTTTCCTAAAGCCCCCTAAAGAGCATCAGATTTGCAATTTAAAAGACTGTTAGCCACACAATAGATGACAGGCTTGTGTAATAGGGTCATGGCAGTCTGGTAAACAAACAGTACCCCTTACATGGCTATAGGCTGCCAGGAAAACCGTCATCTGTAACATTAGCAGGATGACATTTTGAATATGGCTTTTCCCTCTTAGCCACGCAGTACAAACATCATTTGCCTTCAGTGGCTTGAGAATTTTATTTTTGCTATTTTTATGTTTCTGAAAAATAGAACATCAGCAGTTAAACACACCAGCCAGCATAATAAAGAGCTCTGGACCAATGAATTTTAAGAACAAGAAAAAATATAAACTGCATTAATAGCGGGTAGGCTTGTGTGTGAAAGGCATAATATATCTTTAAGTCTTTTTAAGAATAGAATTATTTCTAGCATAGTCCAAACATGTACAGATATGAGATGCAAATCTATGATTTATAGATATTCGCTGGCCTGTTGGTTAAGATCTGTCTTACTGTCTGTCTCCTATTTGCTAGAATCCCATGTAATAGAACATGGAAGATTCATTTGAATGACATGCTAATTGTGGGAAGCTAAAACAGAGATATGGCTGGAAAAATAGTAATACAAAAGAGGCCATTTGTTTTAATGCTTTTCAGAATACTTTTTACTCGTGTGATTCTGCAAAGTGTAACTCAGCTTTAATTGTGCGATTGTTGTATACAATATAACTCTAATTTTGTCTAATAATATCTTCTGAGAAATCTGACTCTGCTTTTGGATTTTTTTTACTGCTTTAAGTTAGAGAAAAGCAACCTGTTTTTGGAATAATTAACAAGTTTTACAAATCGCTGAAGCGAAAACTTGTGAAACTCCTGTGTATTTTAGAATAATATATTAGAATATGGTTTTTCAAGGAAGAAAAGGAAATTCTGATATACATACAAAATATAGAGAAGTTAATATTGGGGAGTTCGCTAAGCAAACACGTTCAGCCCTTTCCCGTTTTATTTCCACCTGTGGAGTTTTCAGATCACTTTGCCCACAAGCCCACGAGCAGCAAATACAGCCCACCCAGGCCGATGTGGCCGCTGGAAGCCCCAAACGGACTGGACAGTCTCAGTCAGGAGCCAAGCACGCTTTGTGCCAGGAGAGCCTGCGTGGCTAACAAAGCGATTAGCAGCCCTTCCCTGATGCAGACCGTCATCGTCATGCTTTATCCAATTACTCAGGCGATATCGGAAGCGAAGGCCCAGTGTTACTTTACGAAGAATAAGAATCCGAAACTGCAAGTTGAAAGGCGGTTCTCTGGTTTACTCTCTCCCATGTGGAGGGTTGGCTGAGGCCATGGAAGTGAATGTGGTCTGCTTGCCCGGTTTCACATGTAGCTTCAGGCCAAAAATAAAGAAACTCATTTCTGGACGACGTGAATTTTTGTACCTTTCAGGGACTCATCTCTGCCATTCTTCCGAAAGCTCACTACCAGCAAGAAATATTAGTTACACTGCCATAGTTACATACCAGGTAACTAAGGTTAAGAAGTCAGATGCAAGAGGGGAAAGACGCAACCACAGTCAGCTTAAGGGGGAACGATGCTTGTGCACGGATGGCCATGTTTCTAAGTGGGAGAATTAAAAAGGGGAACTGTAACTTTCAAGTCTTATCCAAACAGAGGCTTCTGCTGACATCAGTAGAACTCTTACTCATTTTACTGGCAATGCCGTTGAGCGCATAAATTAACACTAAAAGGGTTATATTGTATTTTATCCGATTGAAAGGAAGAAGGGGAGGGCAACGCTTTGTGCCCATTAACAGTGTGATTTCAAAATGGAAATGTATGTCTTTTTAGGATGAAATCTAATAAATAATTGAGAACCACCGTGATGCTACCAAATACTCACGTCTAACATTTTTTAGATTGTCTAATAGAAGCAAGATAAATATACACCCAAAAATCGACCTGAATTCACCTAGATTTGGGATACAAATTCACCTTCTCTTTGCTAATTAAAAGGGAGAAAACAAGGTGTTTCTTACCTGCACATGATCTCGTGTGTGAGCAAGACTCGGCACATTTCTGGGTTCTTGTCTTGGCCTTCATATACTATGGCCTGTAAAAAAAAGGCAAGATTTGAGCTAAGAATGGAACCCAGTAGCAGAGAACAAACTATCACAGGTGAGTTCTTGACCGTCCAGCAATGCCACAGGCCAATTAGCTTTCAGAGCCCAAGGCCTCACTGGGCTGATTGTTTCAAGACCTGTTATTAAGGGTCAACCCCAATCGAGTGGAAGGGGGTGTTTTCCTCCGTGTCCTATGAGCCACCTTATTATGAAGCACATCTTTGGATCCGCGTATGAGTTGTCATCAAGACAACCACAGTTCTTTCAATTCAGATTAAAAGTAAATCTAATCAATGGAGAGGGAAAAAATCTGGTAGGTTTAGCAGATTGAGAAACTAGTGATTTAAAATACAGAAAAGCACATGGATTTGATTTTTAAATAATTCGTGTTTATCGCCTTGTTTTACTGCTTCCAGCTCCAACATGCAGTGCTCTAGCGGTAACTGGTGGAAAACAAGGGAGCGTTGGGGTCAATGAGTCCACTCGCTAACTGTGTCCTGTTTGAGATGATTCATCAATCAGGGGGAGCCCTTTATCCCACCTACAGGCCGAAAACATGCACCCTCCAGGCACAAACGTACCCCCCTAACAGCGATACTCACCAGCACACGCTGGGAAGGTGGGGAAGGAGGGTTAAGCCATGGTTCTCTCCCTCAACTAAGAAACATCACATCTGACTTTCAAAATTTGGAGTCACAAACCAACTCACTAGCGAAGATTTTCTGTCTGCTTTCAGTTATATGTGTACAAACATTTTGCTTAAGGTCACCAGGAAGCTTCCCTGGAACCTCAGCTTCCTAGAAGATCTCCATGTCCTCACTTGGGCCAAAGAAACACGCACAGCTTTCAGCAGAGGAAGGCTCTGCATGGAGATACATTTTAACTAACTTAACACTGTATCACTGCATAATAGTAAAATAACACAGCTTCAAATTGTTGATAAAATTACTTTCACACATTCAGATAACTCTCAATTTCTTGGTGACGAAACTACTTAAATTAACCAGAGACTAACCACCCTTTTATAGGACACAGGAAGTGCAGCAACTAACTTGTGGTTGGCTGGAACATGCTATGTTTATGAATCTGAGTCTTTGAGAACCATAAATGATGGGGGACAACTTATGACACGGTGTGTGCAGACCCTCGGAGCAAGCTCTGCTTATGGTACCTAACTCCATTACAAAGCAACAATTGCAACAAATATAAAAATGCTAAAAAGTATCTGCATAAGGAGAAAACATTTCTGTACCATTAGACCTTCATAAGCTTTTTTTGTTAGCTTGTTATAATTCTGTATTTTTTTAATGTTTTATTTTGACATAATTTTAGACTTAACAGAAAAGTTGCAAGAATATATAAAGAATTCCAAGATACTCTTTACCCAGATGTCTCAAATTCGTAAATTTGCTTTATTCTTTTTTCTGTCTCTGCTTTCCCTGAACCATTTATTAGTTAATTGCAGACATGCCCTAAATACTTCTGTATGTACTTCCCTGAAACAAGGAATTCTCTTACATAACCATAGCAGTACAATGCCTAAATCAGAAAATTAACACTGATACAAAAACTTAATCTAAACACTTTATTGAGAATATTCCAATTATCCAATAATGTTCTTTATAGAAAAAAAAGAAAAATTCTAATATCAATTATTGCATTCAGTTGTCATGTCTCCTTTAATAAGGAACATTCCTGAGCCTTTGTGTTTCATGACATTGACATTGTTGAAGAATATAGGCCAGTCATTTTGTAGAAAATCCTCAATCTGAGTATGTCTGATGTCTCCTCAGACTTAAAGTTATGCAGCTTAGGGCTGGAACACCACAGACACAATGCCGAGTTCTCCCAGGGTCATATCACACTGTAAGTAGCTCCATCGATGGCAGTCAACTCTGACCACTTGGTTACGGGGGTGCCTGCCACCAGAGATCACAGCCAATTTCCCGTACTGTGAAGTTAATATTCACCTTATGTAATTCTTAACTGTCTTCTGGGGAAATCATCTAGATTATGTTAATACAGTATTGCTCAAATTTTCACCCATTAGTTTAAGCATGCACGGATGATGGCATTCTTAAAAGACCTTTTAAATATCCAAGAAGTTTCTTTACTCAAGAAAATGCATTAAGTCAATTGAAAATCTTTTAAAAAACCAAAACGTATATCTCGCTACTTTATTTATTGCAATCGCTGCTAAAAAAAAAAAAAATCAAAGAAACACTGTAAACAACTGATTAAATCTCATATACGGTGCTAAAAAATTCTAATCATGCATTTCTGCGAAATCCTATTATCACTACATGTTTTGTATGTTCTCTTAATACCCCTGACAACCTCTGTTTCAACTTTAGTTTTCTGTCATGCTAAACTAATACAAGTAATTTGGTAAATAAAATTCACAGGTATTAATGGGGTTTTCCCTCTTGTTTAAAAAAAAATGGCTTTTTTGGGGGGAAGGAGTATCAGTTACATCAGACTTTCTCATTTTGATTCTTTCTAGATAAGACCAATATTATTTTTACTGAGGCTGCTGGTTCTACTGAAATCAGTGGGCCCATGATAATACTCAATTAAAGATACGCTGCAGTGAAAATATGTTGATGGCGCCCCCAAACAGCAGGTGATCTGCAGACTCCCAGGAACCCCATGCTTTTATCTTTGGTGACTGAACACCCATTGTGGAAGGCCCAGGGCCTCTGTTGTGCCTCTCTATCAAATGTCAACCTGCCACTTCGCTTCTGGCAGCAGAGTCAAAATGGAGACTCTCTAAATCAAGCAGAGAAAAATGAAAGCATGAGTTTGGATTTTCTCAGAAATAAGTGAGGAACTCTGGGGAGGGGGAGAACCATGATGTTTCTGCTGTCCCTTTCCTCGGGGCCTCAACAGAACAAAGTTTTCAGCACGTCAACACAGAAAAAGAAGGGCTTGCTGCTTCTGTGACTTCTGAAATAAAAGCAAGTGACATGGAGAGTCTTTGCCCTCTCTTGGGGAGGAGAACTAAAATCCTGGAAATAGGGTAATCTAGAACCTCAGCATAATACAGCTAGCTATCAAGTGGAACTCCGTCAAAGGCAGATACATCTCCCTCGCTAAGCAGTTTTTGTTACTGAAAAGGCTTGTTCACTCACACACTCACACACACACACACACGCACGCACACAATGATAAAAGTAGGGTCTGAGAAATCAAACTTCTGATGAGATTCAACAGAAGAAAATAGGATAAATCTATTTTGATGAAAGTCTCTGCTGCAGAGGGCGACAATCAGACAGACTTAAAAATGCCACCAAGCTGTCCCTCCAGCTCACACACGCATCAAACCTCTACCATCTACATTTAGTACACACGACAAGACGGAGTCACAGTACGCAAACCCAGATTTTACGCCTAAAAGGCTCCTTGAACAGCAACTTAGGGAGAAATTTCTGCTTTTCTTTCTAATTTGAATATGTGCCTCGGTGGGGTGTGAGTGAAGCTCATTGAGGCTGGATCAGCTGGGAGATTACAGAAGCATATAAACAGCATTGACTACTTTAAGTGAAACCATTTTAATAGACAGCTGGTTTAGGATGCAGACAATGGAACACCAAGAAGAAGGCTTATTTCCACCCTCCATAGTAAATCACATGTCTGCTCACTGTGAGAAAAGTAGTATGCTGTGAGAGAAACAAACACAACAGTGGTTTAAATAAATCAGTGTGTTTATCAGGACTAAGGATGGAGGCCTGTACAGAGATGGGCAGGAGGGGGAAAGAACGTATATAAAATATATTACTTAAATAAATGAATTGATGGTGGAGCAAGTTGAGATTCTAACCAAAGAAACAAAAAAATACGGTATCAAGTAGAAAATGATGTTTACGCTAATCTTGCCAACAGCAAATAAATCCCTAAGGTGGCAGGAACGCTTGTGCAGGAAGGAAAGTAAAAGAATAAACAGCACGAACTTCATCTCAACTTTAAAAACCTGGTGAAACTGACAAACAAGTTGTCAAAACTTGTCATATTTGGAGCAGATTTATTTTTCTGAATATACTAGCCTCCTTTTTCTTAACGTTCTCTGATAAGCATAAAGAAAATATCACAACTATTTTTAATACTCTATTAACTTTCAGATTGAGGTTTTTTTTCAAGAATAATTTTTTTTATATAATTAACAAGAAAGAAGGAAAAATAGGACTTGTTAAACTTTCACATCCTTACACAACAACAGCGCCAGGTTTACTGGGAGAGGAGAAAATGCCATTAATTTCAAATGCCCAATTATACATTACCCTACACCATCTTTGAAAGGAAATAAATCAGTCAACAGAGAAAATCTGCCTCGGTTGCCACTGTTTTAAAAGCATCTTGGGAAGTGTGGTTCATTTCTGCTTTTCTAAAATATCACTAGAATATCTTAAAAGTTAATTGAAACTTACTATGGATAAAGACCACATGGTATGATGAAAAATACACGGTGAACGTATACCAGAATCACACTACCAGGGGATACCAGAGGAAATACAGAGGATCCAGCACAGCTTTTCTTTACTTTTCTGATAGTTTTAACTCTTTGCGTTCCCTGCCAAAAGAAAGTGGACAAAGAATACTTTTGACTGTGTTTCATTGAAACCCGAAAGGGTTTTAGGAACAAAATGTTTTCATTAGAAGTCTTTCTTGGCTTACAAACAGTAAGAGACTTGTCATTAGTTTGGAAAGGCAGAAAGAGAGAATGAAAGAAAATGAGAGAAAAGAAAAGGAGGAACTGGGAAAGAGGAAGGAAAAAGGAAGACAGGTAAGCAGGTTACTTATAACTAACAAAAACTTCTAATTTTCCACTTAAATCAAAAGAGTCATCTTGAAAACATGTCACTCTTTTTTCCAAATACAAAATAAAAGGCCAAACCTAACTTGTCACATTCATGAATGTACAAAGTACCTCCTTTAATCGGAAGTTAAGTGTCCTTTGACTACAAACTGCCTTTGGCAGCAAATTACCAAGAAC